GAGCCCGGTCGGAGGATTAAGAGGGAGGGTTAGGTCGATTTCGACTGACCCGACTCGATGCGAGAAAAAAAAAGAAAAGGGGACTGGACTGATTTTAGCCCGACTCGCACCCTTTATCAAAAAAAAAAAAAAAGGGAGGTCCAGCTCGTAGCCCACCTTTCAAAAACCAAAAAAAAAAAAAAAAGGGGTAATAAAGAAATAAAAAATAGAATTAAAAAAACAAGAGTAAAAGGAAGAAAAAATAAGAAGGAAAAAGGAAAAAGGAAAAAATAAGGGGGATGGGTAAAAAAAAAAAAACAGAGTAAAAGTTATGGGTTAATGGTTTAGGTATAGGATGATTTATTTTATTTTATGTTTATCTATTTCTTTTATTATTCATTTATTTTTTAGCCTTTTTATATAGGATGATTTTGTTTATTATTCATTAATTTTTTTAGCTTCGTTTATTTTTATTCCTTGGTTTTTTTTATTTAGAATTGTTATTTCAATTTTTATTTTATTTTATTTTCTTTAATATGTATTGCTAGAAAAGTAAAAAATCTTGACGAAGTCTCCTATTTGATATGGACCGACGTCATAAAAAAAATGTCTAAAAATTTTGGCGAAGCCTCCTACTTGGTAGCGCATGACGCCACCAAAAAATAACATAATAATAAATAAATATATTCGATGAAGTCTCCTATTTGATAGGGACCGACGTTACAAAAAATCACCTTTTAATTAAGACGTCCTCCGACACGTCGGTTGTGTCAAGGCTTTTAGTAGATCCGATGTTTGAACCGACGTGTTGCTCGACGAAGGGGATCGACGATCGTTTCAATACAATGCCACGCCCAAACTAAAAATTCTTTAAAAAAAATATATATTGGAGTTTAAAATTAGAATATAGTTTGACATGTAATTTTAGGAGATGAATTTAGAACTAAACCATACATGGTACATTTCTTCAAAAAAGGCGCTTTTAGGTGATTAAACATCTTCATAAAAGTGTAACTAACTCCTTACCTTAGGAATCTCCGAACTAGTGCACTTTTAGGTTTCTAGTTCCTTAAATACTAGGTGGCAACTCCAAAACTCTATAAATAACTTTGTAAATAATTAAGACAACGGACTTTAATTTCTTTGGGGGGTCCCGTCCAGACGTTGTGTAGCGACAAAGTGTACCAAGGTATTGGAGTAGTCTCTATGTAATCATGTGTGAGGCATCTAAGGCGGGATCCTTCTTCTTAAAGTAGTTTGTTACACCTAGGACAACCTTTATACCACTACCCCCCATTGAAGATCATAGTACGTTATAGAGGCTTGATAGGTGAATTTTTTTCCTTGAAATGGACGAAAAGAAAATAATTAAGGATAACATACACAATCGAAACATGTTAATTGTTTTTTATTTGACATTGTAACAGCACAACAATGTTTTAGCATGACATAAAATCTCAACATATCACAACAAAAATATTTCTAAAGGGCTTTGTTTACTTGGTTTGTTTTAAAATAAAAGGTTTTTCTTTTTGTCTTTGGAATAAAGAAGTGCAAGCATTCATAGTCAATGTAAAAAGTCATTATTAGTGTAATGCAACAATGAATGGGTTAGTATTTGTCGATCTTTAGACTAAGAAGCAAGTAGGTTATTTGATGCAAAGGGTGGTTTAGATGGTTATTTAATGGTTACTTGGGGGTTCGATATGGCTGTGGTCATAGGTTGTCAAGGTTGATGGTTGAGGTTTGAACCGGAATAAACGAGGCAATTATGATTGCCAACGCTAGAATTTTGCCTATCATGTTTGCTAAGGATGCAATGTTTTTCATTGAATTTATAGAGGGTTGCGGTTTTGGCAAGGTGAATATTAATTTTGTGATATAAGCTTCCAACAAAGGAATATCACCAATAACAAAGGTTTTTGAAAGCATTATGACTAAAAAAAAGATATGATGGAATAGGTACGAGTTACTCGTAAGCATGCAAGACGGCAAAAAATGCAAGCATACATATTCATAAAAAATGAGTCTTTAACTAGTGATCTTAAGGGTTCATACAAAGTAGGTCTCTAATGGTTTTTCTATTGTTTTTCTTTTATTCTTTGATGGTAGTCCCATAGCCTTTGAGCATTGGTATTTGTTGTATCTTTAATGGCACAAACTCAAAATTAAAACATTGATGAATGAGTAGATCACAATTATAAAAGAGTAAGAAACTTGAGCAACGAAGAGAAGAAACTTTTTTTATGTACTAATGCCTATATGAGATGAGCTTAGGGATGTACTGGATTGAAGTAATATGTAGATACAACGGTTTCGTTCATAATTGCTCAACCTACAATTAGTTTACACATAAGGGGAAGAATTTAATTATATGAATGAGGTAATGCTATAATGAATTGCGTATGATAGAAAAACCAAGGTTGTTTACCTAAAAACTCTCGACTTTAAAATCAATAAAAACTACTATAACGGGAGGTTAGATCGCATTGGCACTTGCTTCTTTGAAGCGTTTTGCAACGTCTCCCTATAAAGTGATGTAGAGATCTTCATTTTTTATGTCCAGGAAATTTTTTAACTTTAAAAAGTAATTTCGAACATGTTATGAAGCTGAAATATGAATAAAAAAACAACAAACCTAATGTTCTCAATAATGTTCTCAATAATGATCTCTTTTTTAGACTCAAGGTGTGAACCCCGTACTATGATGGTTTGCATGGTTTGGATTGCTTGGATGCGACCCAAGACATTTGTTTTGAAGGAATATATGGAAACAATGAGTGGAAAATATGATTTGAGGTGATTTAAAAAAAGAAAGATGAAAATAGATAATGAATCAATGTAGCCAACCTATGAGTGTTTTTGAATTTCGATCTCTAGTCAATAGATTGGCAAAGTAAATGAGATGGAAGTTGTCTTTTAGTGTGGTAAGGATGTTGGTTTATAAAGCTTTGACCTGGATATCTCGCTTGAGATCGACAATGGCTTTGTTGTCCACAACATAGTTTATGAACTTGTTTTCGAACATGTGAAACTTGTGTAATTTGTAGAACATCCTTCTTTAATATGATCTAAGGAATGTTAGACATTGCTTTTTGCTAAAGCTTGTACTTGCACCACCTCGCAAAGCATATGCATCGGCAACTTAGAAATCAATGCAATTATTTTTTAGATCGTGTACACAACTCGGAAATCAAACGACACAATCAAAGGTTTGGATTGCTTAGAGGATAATATTAACTTTTATATGAGTGCTAATTAACAAGACATAACTTTTGTGTAAAAGTTTGTATATCTATACTACGAGTTTTCTCTTGATTAAATAAAGATGTTACAACGGATCATATACCTCAATTACAGACAAATCATATCTCGTAATTATAGCGAGGTCCTATTCTAGGAAAGAAATAGCAATAATATGATAGTTACGGTTGACTATGACAGCTATCATTGACACCTCCCTCAAATTGATGCTAGTGAGTCCAGGTAGCATCAATTTGTTAACAAAAACCGATGTCGAGCAAGAGTGAGAGGCTTTGTGAGGATATCGGTAATTTGTTGATCTGTAGAGATGTGAGGAAGAGTAATAACACCGGCATCGAATGCTTCTCAAATTGAATGACGATCAACCTCAACATGCTTGGTATGTTCATGATAGACGGGATTTGCCACAATTTGAATAACATCGGTGTTATCGGCATGTAGTGCGGTAGGATTAGATTATGAGTAACCCAATTCGGAAAGTAAACCACGTAACCAAGTAATTTCGGAACATGTTACGGACATTGCACGATATTTTGCTTCGATTGAGGATTTGGAAACTCGTTCTTGCTTCTTACATTTCCAAGAGATCAATGCATCACCTAAGTATACACACCAACCAATAGTAGAACGTCGCGTATTAGGATAACTAGCCCAATCGGCATCACTATAAGCTACAAGTTGAAGCGAGGAACCGGATGAAAAAAAGAGGCCACGGTTGGAAGTACCCGGAAGATAGCGGATAATTCGCTTAATCTGCTACCAAATGTAAATTACGTGGAGAAGTCATAAACCGACTCACCAAGTTGATCTGTAAATGAGATATCAAGCCGAGTGATTGTCAAGTAAACTAAACTCCCAACTAGGCATCGATATAGTATAGGATCCGATAGAGGTCACCGTCATCTTGCGATATTTAACATTGATTTCCATCGGTGTATCGATCTGGAGTGGAATTTTGTAAGCTTCCTAACATAATTATGTCACCGAGATACTTGTGTTGATTCAAAAAAATTCCTTTCGTCGCTTCGTGAATTTCCAACCCTAAAAAATAAGTAAGGGACCCAAGATCTTTCATATAAAAAGAAGTATGAAGAGAAGCTTTGAGTTGTTGAATTCCAAGCAATATCGGTACCGAGTGATGACAATATCATCAACATAAATAAGTAAAAGAACAATACTAGTAGAAGTCTTTCGCAAGAATAGGGAAGGATCATACTTTTTTTGCACAAAAGAGAGATGAAGAAGAGTCCGTCGAAATTTCTTAAACCAAGAGCGGAGAGCTTTCTTAAGCCCGTATAAAGAGTGCTTTAAATGACAAACATCGGTAGCAGCTATTGTCAAACTCGATGGAGGACGCATATAGATATCTTCTTTAATATCTCCATGAAGGAACGTATTTTTGACATCCATCCGATGTATTTCCCAATTCCGAGAAGGCTGCAATAGCCAAGATTGTACGAACGGTAGTCATCTTGGCAACTGGAGCAAAAGTTTCCTCGTAATCGATCCCATATTCTTGACGATTGCTAAGTGGCACAAGTCGAGCCTTACACCGTTCAAATGAACCATCATATTTAAGTTTGACGAGAGAATACCCATTTGCAACTAATTGGAGTGATTAAAGATGGACAAGATACAATCTCCTATGTGTTATTTTACCGCAAAGCATCAAGTTCCTCTTGAATAGCTTTCTTCCAGGCAATCAAACTTCATAGCTTCGAGTAAGATCTAGGAATTGTAATAGATGATAGTGTTACAGCTAAAGATGTGTGAGAACCATATCGGTTAAGAGAATATCGATACCTTTTTGATAGATGTGAGGTGCGAGTAGACCTTCGAAGTTGTGGTGAGTCAACATCGGAACCGATGGCGGGGAAGAGCTGTGGAGGTTGTGAGAGAGCTATATCAAGGGCTGGTTGAGCGGATGACTCATGAAGAATGTCTCCAGTTTGAACCTCATTATCATTTCTCCTTGTATACACAATGCCGGGCCTAAAACGTATGATAGGAATAGAAGGATTTTTATTATGATGACTAGACGGATCCTCAAAAGATGGAAGAAAGGAGTGACTAGAAATGTGTGAAGTGACATCATAAAAGGGAAAGAAATACCGGTGGTCAAAAAATATGACATTACGAGAAATTCGAATTCGTTGAGTGGTGGGATCAAAACACATATAACCACTTTTGATGTGGTGCATATCCAAGAAAAGCACATCTAATTGATTGAGGAGAGAGTTTTGTGCACTTATGAGGAGGAAGGAGAACAAAACTAACACAACCAAATGGATGGAGATGTGTATATTCGAGTTCTTGGTGATGGAGAAGAAAGTATGGTGTTTGACTATCAAGAACAATCGTAGGAATACGATTGATTAAATATACCGCAATAGTCAAAGCTTCAACCTAGAATTATGATGGAATAACGGATTCAATGAGTAAGGAGCGCACCACATCAAGAAGGTGACGATTTTTTCGCTCGGTAATGCCATTTTGTTGAGGTGTATATGGACAACTCCTTTGAGAAATAATTCCCTTTTGTTAAAGAAACTTTTGGAATTTTTTAGACATGTATTCCCCACTAGAATCGAACGAAAAATTTTGATGCTTTTTGAAAATTGATTGTCAACGAAAGCTACGAATTTTTGAAAAGCATCAAAGACTTTAGATTTTTGTCACAAGAAATGTATCTAAGTAAAGCGATCGTGATCGTTAATAAATGTCATAAAATACTTGTACCGAGCATGAGATATAACGAGCGAAATCCCCCAAACATCACCATGAATCAAATCAAAACATTGAGAAGACTTTGTTTCATAAGAAGGAAAAGGAAGAGTTTTTCTTTTACCCATTTTGCAACTAGAACAATCAATTTTGACGGGATGAGATAGAATTTTATTGCCTAACACTCCGAGACTTTAACATGGATAAAAGAGTTCTATCATTTGGATGACCTAATTTGACATGCCATGACTTGTAATCGGAGTTGAACATAATAAGAAAATAAAGAAAACACATTCATAGGCTTGGTCGGTTAATAAAGTCGAAGAGGAAAAAGTCTCGCTCCATTTAGGTCCCTCCGCTACTTGTCTTCCCAAACAATAGTTCTTGCACGGTAAAACCGGAAGGAGAAAAAATGACTTTGCAATTATTCTCAACCATTTGTCCAACGGAAAGCAAATTAGTCGATAAACCATGGGCAATAAAAGCATTTTTCATTGATAAAGAGGAAGAAATATCACCGATGGCAATTATGGGAATATGATCCCCACTAGTTGTCTCAATTTGTATGTTGCCATCATATGTTTTAATATTAAGTAGATTATCGGATGATGGAGTCATATGGTTTGAAGCAGTAGAGTCAAAAAGCCGGATGCTAGAAAGAGATGCATTTTTACTAGTAAGACCAAAAGCGAGAGAAAGCCGATATGATCATCTATTGAACATCCTGTCGAGTAGAGATGGAAATGCTGTCTGCTTGTTTGACAAGAATCAACTACTGCTTGGAGATTCGGTCATCATATTGGTAGTAGATATGTGAAGAGCACGAGGATTACGATTTTATGGACGCTTCCTACATTCGGATATAATATGCCCCTTAATTTTGCAATAGTTTCAAAATTTTTGAGAACATTGATTGGCAATATGCCCATATGCCTTACAATCGTAACACCGAGTGTTAGCCATGGTTCAAACCCGTTGCTTTCCTTGTCTTGCATAAGCAACATTGAGAACATTGGTGGAATTCCCTTGTTGTTCTAGAGTGGTTTGAGTCCAGTGACATTGCTCCTCCCTTAGTAGTTCATTCAAACGAGTCATCCAAGGATGGAGAAGGAGTCCTAAGCAATAAATTAGAATGCACCACTTCATATTCGGGTATGAGTTTCATCAAGAATTGATCTCTTTGACTAGTATGATGAAGATTTTGAATCGCTTCTAGAGATGCATCGAGTGCTGAAGCATACACAATGTTGGTATATTACATCCATAATGAGACAAAGCCCGCGTAATACTCCTAAATGGACAAATTACCTTGTGTGTAATTTGAAATGTCATATTCTACTTGAAACCGTCTAGTTGAACTGTTACGATCATAAATTTTCTTGAGGTAATCCCACATAGCTTTGGTCGTCTTATAAGGTCGAAGATTGACAACAATGGAAGAGTCCATAGTCCGCAATAGCCGACTCTTAACTTGAGCATCCTTGGTCGCCCACTCTGCAGCTTTGGTCGAATCGATCGGCTTCTTTGTCCGTGCCATCGATAATTCCCCATAATTCTTTCCCTTGAACATAAATTTGAAACTAAGATTCCCAAGCAAAATAATTCTTCCACGAAAACTTGACAAAAGCTATCTCTGGTTTCTCCATGAATATAATGCTAAGAGAGATGCCAAAAAATATAACTCACAAAGCTCGAACCAAGAAGACCAAAAAAAAATTCACAAGAAAGATAGAACGGAAGAACAAGAAACCCCATAGGGCTCGATACCATAACAAGACAGAACTTTTGTGTAAAAGTTTGTATATCTATACCATGAGTTTTCTCTTGATTAAATAGAGATGTTACAACGAGATCATATGCCTCAATTACAACAAATTATATCTCATAATTATAGCAGGTCCTATTCTAGGAAAGAAACAACAATAATATGGCGATTACGGTTGACTATGACGGACTATGACAGCTATCATTGACACTAATGTGCATACAAATACAAAACATATGCGATTGTATGATTATATTTCTATCCCTAAAATAGAATACACAACATCAATCATTTGAATTTACCTAAGCATCCATGAAAACACAATTAGAGCTCGTTGGTCGGTCATCATTTGTTATCATCCACACCCCGTAAGTGCACACTCGAACGGGTCCTTCACAACCATACATCTTTAATACCGATAATTGAGAAGACATTGGTTCATGCAACCTATAGGAAAAAAAAAAAAAAAAGAGAGAAAAGGAAAATGAATTAGTTTGATGACATGTTGAGGGTAGTTTGATGAAAATAAATACGGATATACGATTATGAAAAAAATGTTTTGAACGGACAAATAAAACTAAGATTTGATATAACAATCATTCTTTATTTAATTTTTACTGACATGGCTACATACAAAACGATATAGTAAAGTCTTGTGATAGGATTTCATGTTTTCATTATTGTAGTGGAAAGAAGCATTCAACAATAGTAGGATAATTCAAATGTTCATGTTCTTAGTTAAATCTAAAAATGAAAAAGCAATCAGCTTGTGCATCAATTGGAAAATATATGAAAATGGAAGTCAATAATAGTTTAAAATGATGTAGTTCAAAATACATACTAGAAGAAAGCATTTTTTTTTTTTTGTTTTTTGTTTTTTGCCATTTTGTAGCCTGACATGTGTTATCTTTATGGCAATAAAACTTGAGGAAAGATCTTGGAAAGAAAAGTTCGTTGGATAACATGAAGGAAAAACTGGTTTCTTCTTCTAATAATGTCTATCTATGCTTACACGGTCAAAAATAAAAAAAAGACAAAAGAAAAAATAACATCTGAAGAAATGTGTATGCGATGACCTGCTGTAGAGAGCAGGATAGATTTGGTACAACCTGCTGTGACTATGATTGCCAACATTATCTTATATAGGAAATGTGTTATAGATATGCTAAAATAGGTTTGCATGTTTATTTGTTTTCGTTTTAAAAATTCAATGGAAAAGTCAATTGGAGGCAACATTCAATTTTTTTCAACTGGGCAGTGTCTTTATATATAGGATGCAGTGAAAACTATTTTCAAATTAGATTTTGTTTGAGAAATGTTTGACTGATCCCAAAGGATCTATTTCATACCCGTAAGCATATATTTTGGCGACAGCTATGTGCTTTGAAATATATTTTCTCCAAAACACTTATGTCATAATGAAAGCAAACCCAAAAAAAAAAAAAAAAAAAAAAAAAAAAGCAAATCAGAAAACAAACTAATTAATGTACTATTCACACAAAGAATAGAAATGTGCTATTGTAATTTTTAGATTCCCATTTTCATCTTGGCATCAAACATAATTCTTTATCAACAGCATGTTTGCAAGTCATTACACTAAACAGAGTTCATCATTTCCTCCCATGTACGAGGTTATTTTTTTTCTTGTATGCAAGAAGCAAATATATAAATATTGTGCCTTTTGGCAGAGCATTCTTATCTTAAAGTTGTTTATAAAATGTATTGGCTTTTCTATTACAGCCATATATATAAGAAAACCCAGTCAAGATGCTGATTCATGAGGAAAAGCTGCAATTTTACTCACAGTACAATACAACATAACACAGTGCAACGAATCAGACATAGTATGAGATAAACAGACTGTTATTCTTTAAGAAAATGAAGACATTTAAGAATGATTATGGTTGTGAATTTTGAAGCAAAAAATTCATGCATTCTTTTGCAAAACTCATAAAATTTAGCAACATTTTTTTTCCCTCATACATCTGAATAAAGTGATTTAGTGAAGTCAAACAATGCCATATAGCTAATTTAGGATGCACTCTTTTACAACATGCATCTACATCTTTTTCTCTCAAACTTTTTAAACTATGGTTTTTTCTTATGAATGGATTATCTTCTCTATTTTTACATACATTTTCGACATGAAATTATTTTTTCAAAAAACTTGTTTATCACAAGTGAAAAGTGCTTAGTTGTCTTTGCTTTTTGTACCTTTATCCATATATTAAGTAAAAACTTGAGGCATGTTCCACTCGTATATTTGTTTGCTATAGTACACATCATAAAGATTTTTGATGCATGTCATTAGTTATAGGTCATGCCTACATTACTTACCGTGTTTGCCCTTTTGATTGAATGAGAAAGAATGAAAGGAAATTGAAGACAATGGGTGATCGATAATTGAGGATATCATGAGTGGATTTATTTTTATGGAACCACACAATGTGAGTACAATAACAAGCAGTTTTCAAGGGCAGCTAACCAGAATAAAGGAATGAAT